CACATAAACTCTTAGGGTGTATAATATTGTGCACCCTAATGCACAATATAATTGTCATATAGCCCTTTCTTTCTTTTGGTCTTCTGTCAGAAGTTATTTTGATAATGAAAGGATCTCAGAAGTGTCTATTTCACAAATGACCATTTCAATGGTGTCACAATTTGTGAACCAAATTTCACTCCAAAGAAGATTTGGATTTTGGAAATTAATAATAATTGATAACAAAAATTTTGAGTAATAAATTTTTCTTGTTCACACTTAACTTTTTCAAGGGTTTGGGTTCATGACTTCCATCTTTTTGTACAAGATCGATATTATTAAACTCTTAGGGTCCGTTTGGAAAGCAGGAAAATGACTTCTGGAAAATGAGTCATTTTTCGGAAAACATTTTCATTTTCCTAGTTGCATTTGGAAAACTGTTTTGGTGTGTTTAGTTCATTTTCTGGAAAATGAGTGGAATGGTATAATTAAATATTTTAATTATTTTATTCTGAATAAAAAATACATTTTAAATCTTTAAAACTAAAAAAAATAAAGAAAACAAAAAAATTATGGCTTCCGGTAGAACCCAATTCCGCCGGAAACCAAGGCTATGGTTTCGGCGGAACTGGTTCCGTCAGAAACCATAGAAGTTAAAAAAAAAAAAAAAAAATTGAAATAAAAGTGGCGGAAAATGACTTCCGCCCAAATTTGGCGGAAGTCATTTTCCGCCAAATTGAACTCATTTTCCCCAGTCAACGGAAAATGTTTTCCGTTGACTTGATTTTCCAGGTGTAGCCAAACACCAAAAACCCGGAAAATGATTTCCAGAAATCATTTTCCGAGTTTTCAAACACAGCCTTAAAGAAGTATACGTTTTTGCGCCTAAATGATTTGCCATGCATGTTACAATACTTTTTGTTTACCTTTCTTTTTTTTTTTTAATAATCTAAAATCTTGTTTTGCATAGATTGAGTTCCAATAGTTATTACTTCGCATTCATTTTATTGATTTAGTTTATTTATATATACAATCACCAACTAATATTCTTTTGGATTGAAATGGATTATTACTGAGTGTTGGTGTCTCTCCTAAGTCCTCCTTTTCCTCTATACAGAAAAGGCATTCACTACTAGAAATTATGGAATTTTCGACCACCTGAAAGTGATCTTAAATTATGTGAGGTTAGGCTTCGTATTGTTACAAGTTTTCATGTAACGGTACGGCCGGGTCATGTTCTAGAAGTGGGGCGTGACAGAGTGGTATCAGAGCCTAGGTCTAAATCCTTAGTTGGTCAAGAAGTTAAGTTTGAATTTTTGCAAGATTAGGCTTTAACCGAGCGGATGATAAGTTTAGGCTTTGAGCGGGTTTTGAATGTGGTTTCCTGAATATTTTTGATAATGTGGTCATACTTTCTATGTTGTGAATTCAGGGAGTGTTGTGTTACAATGATTAAGAGGGGTATTCCTACACATGGTCGAACTCATCGGGTTGGGCCGTTGATAACTGTGTCGCCTATTCGGAATATAGTTGTGGATGCTTACGTGCTGTGTGATTCAGGTTCTTCGCATTGTTTTGTTTATGAGAAGTTTGCAAAGAATTTAAATTTGCAAGCTAAGAAGTTCAGTGAAACTTTGTATGTTAATACCCCTATGGGGAAATTATGGTGATAGATACTTGGTTTCAAGATGGTCATCTACAACTTAAGGGGAGTGATGTGTCAATTGATTTAATTCGACTAGATATGCAGGATTTTGATGTGATATTAGGAATGGACTGGCAAAAAAAAAAAAAACAAAAAAACTATGCCTATATTGATGGCGCTCGTAGAAAAGTGTTATTTCAAATTCCTGGACAATCTACCTTTACTTTGAGACACTCTCCTAGGAGCGGAGTGTTGGTGTCGAAAGTGCAATTGAAAGTAATTTATGCATTGAAGGCTAAGAAAGACACCAGAAAGAAGTTGAGTTAGATGATATCCCAGTTGTTAAGGAATTTTTGGATGTGTTCCTAGAGCATTTACCTAGATTACCTCCAAATAGAGAAATTGAGTTTAAAATAGAAGTTCCCGGAACTACTCCAATCTCAAAGACCCCTTATCGCATGTCATCGTCTGAGCTACGTGAGTTAAAGGTGCGATTGCAAGAATTGTCAGGTATGGGATTTATTAGACCTAGTGTATCTTTTTGGAATGCACTAGTGTTATTTGTGAAGGATGGTAGCTTGCGATTGTGTATTGACTATTAGAGATTGAATAAAGTTACTATTAAGAACAAGTATCCTCTACCTCACGTAGATGAATTATTTGACAAGTTCAAGGTGCAAAATACCTCTCAAAAATTGATTTGAGATTAGGGTACCATCAATTGAAGGTTAGAGCTAGTGATGTATCCAAGACTACTTTTAGGACCTGGTATGGCCATTATGAATTTTTGGTGATGCCGTTCGGGCTAACTATTCCTCCTGCTTTCTTTATGGATTTAATAAATAGGGTCCTTAAGTCATTTCTGGAAAAAATTGTTGTGGTATTTATTGATGATATTCTGCTATATTCAAAGAGTGAGGAAGAGCATGCTCAACATCTAAAGACCATCTTGCATACTTTGAAGGAAAATGAATTGTATGCCAAGCTAAGTAAATGTGAATTTTGGCGTAAGGAGATATCTTTTCTTCGTCATGTAATTTCTGGAGACGGGATTTCCGTAGACCGAACTAAGGTTGAAGCAATAACACAATGGCCGAGACCCCCTAATGCTACAAAAGTAAGGAGTTTTCTGGGTTTAGCAGGTTAACTATGCCATTGATTCGATTAACTCGGAAGGGTATAAAGTTTAATTGGGATGAGGAGTGTGAGAAGAACTTTCAAGAATTAAAGGAAAGATTTGTTAGTGCACCTATCTTAGCCCTACCATCTGGGGAAGAGGGATTTGTTATTTATAGTGATGCATCAAGTAGAGGATTAGGATGTGTGTTGATGCAAAATGGTAAGGTGGTAGCCTATGCCTCTTGACAATTGAAGTCCCATGAAGTTAACTACCCCACTCATGACTTAGAACTAGCAGTTGTGGTTTTTGCTTTAAAAATTTGGAGGCACTACCTGTATGGAGAATCTTGTCAAATATTTACGGATCATAAGAGTTTGAAGTACCTCTTTATCCAAAAGGAATTAAACATGAGACAACGACGATGGTTGGAGCTAATAAAAGAATATGACCTCACTATTAATTATCATCCAGGTAAAGCTAACAATGTGGCTGATGCTTTAAGTCGTAAGTTTTCCACGGTTAATGTGACAGTGGTGACTACTCAAACTCAATTGTTGAAAGATTTTCAAGATTTTGAAGTTGAGGTTATTTTGCAAAATAAGCAAGGAGGGATATTAGAAACTATGATTACAAAACCGGTATTATTAGATCGCATTAAAGTTGCCCAAGTTGATTAAGATTCATGGGAAAAAAAAAATCAAGCGAGTGACCCAAAAGAGTTCGGTATTTAAGATGATGGATCCCTATATTTCAAGTCCCGGCTATGCATTCGGAATGATGTTGAGGTAATGAAGGATATTTTAAAGGAAGTCTATCAGTCTCACATCTTTGTACATCCAGGTGCTACCAAAATGTATAGAGATATGAGAAATAATTTCTGGTGGAGTGGTATGAAGCGGGATATTGCTGACTTTGTGGTCAGATGCATGGTATGTCAACAAGTACGTTAAAGTTGAACACCAAAGACCTGCAGGATTATTGAAATCCTTAGAGATACCTCATTAGAAGTGGGAACATATATCTATGGATTTTGTGAGTGAATTACCGAATAGTCAGCATGGGAAAAATACAATTTGGGTTATTGTGGATCAACTCACTAAGGTTGCACACTTTCTACCCATTAGGAAGACCTAGCTGAGTTGTATGTGAATGAAGTTGTAAGGTGGCATGGTGTATCTGTTAGTATAGTATCTGACTGGAACTTTAGATTTGTGTCAAAATTTTGGAGAAGCTTACAACGAACCACGAGGACTGAATTAAAATTAAGCACTGCATATCATCCACAAACAAATGGGCAAACCGAGAGGACTATTCCAACCTTGGAGGATATGCTTCGAGCTTGTGTCTTGGATTTCAAGATTAGTTGGAGTAAATACTTAACTTTAATTGAGTTTGCATATAACAATAGCTACCAATCGAGTATAGGAATGACACATTTTGAAGCTTTATATGGAAGGAAATGTTGATCTCTTTTATATTGGGATGAAGTTGGAGAAAGAAAGATATTTGGACCAGAACTTGTACAACTCACAGTTGAGAAGATTAAATTAATTAAGAAAAGAATTAAAGCCTCTCAAGACAGGCAAAAGAGTTGGGCTGACTTGAAAAGAAGAGAATTGGAATTCAAGGTTGGGGATTTGGTGTATTTAAAGGTTTCACCAACTCGAGGAGTAATGAGGTTTGGAGAGAAAGGGAAATTGAGTTCACGTTCCTTTGGACCGTTTGAGATTCTGAGTAGAGTGGGTAATTTAGCTTATGAGCTAGCACTACCACCACAATTAGCTGGAGTTCACAATGTATTCCATGTATCAATGCTACGAAGGTACATTGTAGATCCGAGTCATGTGGTGAAGTATCAACCATGCAAGTTAGGGATGACTTAACTGATGACGAAGTACCTCTTCGCATCATTGATCGGAAGGAACAAGTGTTGATGTCCCAAGTAATCCCATTTGTTAAAGTGCAATGGTCACATCATACCCCAAGAGAAGCAACATGGGAAAAGGAAGATGATATGAAGGATAGATATCCTGAACGCTTCAAATTTGAAGGTAAGTAAGTTTCGAGGACGAAACTTATTTAAAGGTGGGGAGATTGTAATACCCATTTTCTTATAAATTCAATTATGATTAAGTTTTATTAAGTGAAGTCAACAAGTCAAAGCTTCTTATTTTGATATTGGGTAAAATTACCAAATTACCCTTCTTTACCCTTAAAGGTTAAGGAATCACTTGAGTCTTGGATAAGCATCTCATTTGAAAGAAGACAAGGAGAGCTAATTAGAGAGAGATAGGGGAAGGAAAAACCTTGAAGCTTGGATCTCCATCTTCTTCAAGCTTAGACCTCTAAGATATTGGGTATTCTAGGTGAGTTTAACCTCTATCTTTTACTCTTTATGAGTTGGGTTTATCTTTGGAGCCCTAAGATTGATGTTTGAAAATATTAGGGATTTTGACAAGGAGTATTTGGGCGAGCTAAATATCTAAGATTTGGATATTTTAGGTAAGTGTTTATGTCTCTCAAAACTATTTTTGCCCTATACTATAAATTAAACACGTGTTTTAATTTGGATTGTATATTGAAGTTTTGAGCAGTGTTTTTGGTGAAAATGTTGCGTTTTTGGACTGAAAATGTTGTGTATTCTGGACTGAAACTGTATTTGGGTGTGAACTGTGTTTCTGGACTGAAATGGTTGACTTATATAATCTGGACTAGAATTGTCACCATGTGTAGAGGCGGTGCAATGGTTTGTAGTTGTTGAGCAGTGCGAGGGGTTATGGGTTTGACTCCACTTGCTAGCAGGACTTATTTGTTTGTTTTACATATATTATGCTTACAAAATGGATTATTTATTTAAAGTTAGATTTGAACCCTTGACCTTATGTTTAATAACTTAAGTTATTTCCAATTAAGCTACTTTAACTCTTTTGAAACTATTCTTGTGTAATAAACTATTCTACGATTTTTAAAGAGTTATGTACTAAGAAAATTATCATTTTGGATGGGTTTACACCTTGCATATTTCTTAGTTTGATAAATTTATTATCAATAATTGGAAATATTATGTATCTTGAGAAAATATGTGACTTGAAAAACATGGTACAATAAACTATGTACTTGCATATTATGTGATTTTTTAAGGAAAATGATTTTTGCTACACCGGGCTATTTGATTATAAGAAGTATTTTGATTGTTTGATCAAACTCATGAGGCAACCTACATTTTGTTGTTTGTTTTGTTTGGCTTGGAACGTTCCTAATTGCTCATTCCGAATCGTCAAGCTTGACTCATTCCGAATCGTCGAGTCTTTTGAATTATTTGTTGGAACGTTCCATCCGGCTCATTCTGAATCGCCGAGCCTGACTCATTCCGAATCGTCGAGTCTTTTTGGACCATTATACCGATAATGGCATGTGCCACATAATATAATGGTGGTTGTAGGTTGCCAATGGGTCATATGTTAAGAAATGGTTTGTGCTTTTGAAAGTATTGTATTATGAAATATTGTTGATGCCCATGTAGCTAAAGTTTCTTGTTTTGTGAACTTGTGTATAGTATGATGAAAGTATATTATGACTTCGATATAGGTTAAAGATCGAGTTTTGCATCGAGTTATTACTCTAATGCTTTTTGTATTATTTTGGGGTTACTTGATCCGGTGTTGAGAGGACTATCAGTTACTGGGCATTAGCTCATTATTTGTATTTTATTTTCTCATGTTCCAGAGTAGTAAGGACATGTGAATAGCATGAGCACAAGTGGTGGGGTCTCGAAGCTGACTTTTGAAACTAGGAGACTTAGTGGTGGTTGTAGGTTGCCAATGGGTCATATGTTAAGAAATGGTTTGTGCTTTTGAAAGTATTGTATTATGAAATATTGTTGATGCCCATGTAGCTAAAGTTTCTTGTTTTGTGAACTTGTGTATAGTATGATGAAAGTATATTATGACTTCGATATAGGTTAAAGATCGAGTTTTGCATCGAGTTATTACTCTAATGCTTTTTGTATTATTTTGGGGTTACTTGATCCGGTGTTGAGAGGACTATCACTTACTGGGCATTAGCTCATTATTTGTATTTTATTTTCTCATGTTTCAGAGTAGTAAGGACATGTGAATAGCATGAGCACAAGTGGTGGGGTCTCGAAGGTGACTTTTGAAACTAGGAGACTTAGTCCTAGTGTTGGAGCTTATCACGAATTTTTGTTTCTTTTGGATATTCCCTTTGACCCTTGTATTTTTGGTAACCCGTTGTGCTTGTGATGTATTTTGGACATACTACTCATGATTGTAAATATTTGTGTATGGATTTAATGAGCTTTTGGGAAGAACTAGTTGCTTATATTTTGTTATTTTGGGTTGTGGAATTGTTATGTATTTAGTTGTTGTTATGAAGGTTTCGAGAGATATGTGAGGTTAGGCTTCGTATTGTTACAAGTTTTCATGTAACGGTACGGCCGGGTCATGTTCTAGAAGTGGGGCGTGACAATAGTCACCTTTACCAAATCAACCAATTAGGAAAGTAGTATATACGGCAACGTATTTTGGAGAAGAGACCAATGTTCGAATTCGGTAGCGGCAGTGTGAAAATTATGTCCAAAGTTGACAGATCTTTTGTGCGCACCAGCATTTGGCCTTGTCTTTTGAGCCATTGCTTCACCTTGATTTACATTCTCCCAAATGCTCTGTCGAACCGGGGTGTGGGGCCTTAGGGATTGGAGATTCAACCTTTTGGGAGAAGTATATACGGCAACGTTATCATCCAAGTCAAATCTTAATTAATGTGGATTGACGTTACCAATTTTTATTACACTTGATGGAAATTCATGACTTTTTTTTTTCTTTCTACACTAAACTCTTTTCGTAAGATAACTCTAGTTAAGTTAGTTGAGTTGATAATCATAATGTTTCAACTTTGACTCCCTAAAAGAGCTACGTATTGACTTCACCTTCGAGCAACATGTACGGGAAAATGTAAAAACAATCCTTTAATTGTATAAGAAAATAATTGAACAATAAATTTTGTGTAATGTATATATGTATAGAGCATTAAATTTTCCTTTGATAAATAACACTTAGATGAGTCTTCTGTTAAGTCTTGCTTGATTTGGTCTCTAGTAAGTACTTATGAGTGTTCAAATTTTAATGCCATCCTCCACAGTTTGTCCTTGAAAATGAAAGAGTCAATTTCACAAAGACCACATGGGTGTGTCCAAATTTTGTGATCCAAATTTCACGTAATTTTTTAATTTTTTATAAACACACACTATAAATAAGCAAATGTAGCAGTCTAGCTTGTGGCATTCATACAGTGCCTTTCCTTTTATTCTTATAATACCATCTGCCTTTGGCACATCATTATAACTGATTATGGCTTTCCCATCTCTTGTTTTCTTTTCTATTAAGCATCTCTTTTTTCTGTATTCCCTTAGCTTCTTGGTTCTAAGATTTCCCCTAATTTCATCTGCCTCCAAGTTACATGGCAATGAGACCGACCTTATTTCACTTCTTGAATTAAAAAAAATGATCACAAATGATCCATTTGGTGTCTTAGCTTGGCCTCGTGGAATAAAACCACTGCACCCATTTTTGTGAGTGGCATGGTGTTTCATGCGGCCACCGCCACCAGAGAGTTACATCCATAAACCTCAATTCCTCGAAACTCGTGGGATCAGTGCCATCACAAATTGGGAACATGAGCTTTCTTAGGATTCTAAAGCTCCAAAACAATAGTTTATCAGGTGAGATCCCCCCGCAAATAGGTCATTTGCATAGGTTGAGGGTTTTGTTTTGAACAATAACTCTCTCAGTGGATTCATCCCATTAAACATTTCTTCTTGCAAAAGCTTGAGAGATATAGATTTCTCATTCAACAATCTCATAGGCAATATTCCAACAGAGCTTGGCACCTTAACTGATCTCCGATATTTTGAAGTGAGTAACAACAACTTGATTGGTAAAATTCCTCATTCTCTTGGGAATTTTTCTTTGATTTTTTACATTTTTGTCTCCGGCAACAAATTATCCGGGGAAATACCAGATTCTATAGGTAGATTACCAAGATTGCAATACTTTAGTGTTAGCATGAATTATTTGACCACTGTACCCTCTTCTCTATTTAATCATTCATCTTTATTATATATTGGTTTGGGCTTGAATTCTATAGAGGGTACTTTGCCTCCCAAACTTTTCATCACTCTTCCCTGCCTTTACTTTTTTACTATTTACAAGAACAATGTTACTGGAAGCTTTCCTGTATCATTATCAAATGCGACAAACATGCAGTTCATTGATGTTGGTTCAAATGAGTTAACAGGAAAAGTTCCCGACCTTAGAAAGTTGCAAAAACTTTATCAGTTTGTGGTTGGACGTAACTTTCTTTGGGAAGGGAAGGTTGGCGACTTGAATTTCCTTTCTTCATTGACCAATATAACTAGCTTAGTTTAAAAATTTTGGAATTTAGTGATAATAACTTTGGAGGTTTCTTGCCCAAATCTATTGCTAACATTTCGAGAAACCTTGGATTTCTCCATCTTCACAATAATCAAATTTCAGGAGTGATTCCCAGGGAAATCTCTAATCTCATTGGGTTGGAGGTTCTAAGTAACCTAAAAAAGTTGGGTTTGTCACAGAACAATTTGTTTGGAAGAATTCCATCGTCTTTTGGAAATCTTACTATTTTACTTATCCTTTATTTAAACGGGAACTACCTCCATGATAGTATTCCTGCGAGTATTGGAAAATGCCAAAACCTAGAGTGGTTAAAACTTTCTCAAAACAACCTTAGTGGTCACATTCCAAAGGAAGTTCTTAGCCTCTCATCTTTGTCAATTGAGTTGGATCTCTCTTACAACCAGTTGGTAGGTTCCATTCCAAAAGAGGTTGGATATTTGAAGAATTTAGGCTACATGGATTTGTCCTATAATTCATTGTCAGGCCCTATTCCCGTGGAGCTTGGTAGCTGTGTGTACTTGGAAATGTTGAATCTAACAAATAATCACCTCCAAGGTGCAATTCCATCAACATTTACAAATTTGCGAGGCTTGCAAGTTTTACAACTTTCTCACAACAATTTGACCGGAAAAGTCCCAGCTTTCTTGAAGGACTTCAAATTTTTACAGAATTTGAATCTTTCTTACAATGATTTTGAAGGGGCACTCCCAACAAAAGGGGTCTTCAACAGCACAAGTTCTGTTTCAATTGTAGGAAACAGAAAGCTCTGTGGGGGTATAACTCAGCTCAACCTCCCTAAATGTATTACTACAAAGTCCAAAAAAATGAAATCAAAAGCTCATTTGGAAGTAGCAATTCCTTTGATTCTTGGGATTGTTGTCCTAGCTCTTGCAGTTTTTATTGTTTACTTTAGATGGTTAAGAGGACAAAGAAAAGAACCATTTCCTAATAATCTGTTAGAAAACCCCATTTTAAGAGTGTCGTATCACTCACTCTTCAAGTCCACTAATGGGTTCTCTTCAGAAAATTTACTAGGAGTTGGTGGTTTTGGAGCTGTTTATAGAGGATATGATGTTTTGATGATGATGGAACTACCTTTGCAGTCAAGGTAATTGATCTTTTGCATCATGGAGCTTCCAGAAGTTTTGAAGCTGAGTGTGAGATATTGAAAAGCACCCGGCACCGCAATCTTGTCAAGGTACTAACTGCTTGCTCGGGGTTTGATCTTCAAGGAAATGATTTCAAGGCATTAGTTTACGAGTACATGGATAATGGGAACCTTGAGAACTGGTTGCATTTTAGTCCCCAAGAGAACATTGAGATTGAAGAGAATAAATAGGCTCAAAGGTTAAACATGCTCATTGATGTGGCATGCGCTTTGGATTATCTTCATAACGATTGTGAACCTGCAATAATCCATTGTGATCTCAAGCCAAGCAATGTTCTCCTTGATGAAAGCATGACAGCCCATGTAAGTGATTTTGGATTGGCAAGATTTGTGCAACAAAGGAATCAAAGTTCTTCAGAAAACCACAGTTCCAATGGGGTACGAGGAAAGCACCACCTGGTAAGTATGCATTATATATATGTATTATAAATGATACAGATGCATAACATATTCTCCTCTTTTTACATTTAATTTGGATTTTATTTAAAAAAAAATTCATTTTTTGAGCAGAATATGCCTTTGGAAGCAAACCATCAAAAGCAGGTGATGTATATAGCTTTGGTATACTAATCTTGGAAATGCTCACTGGGAGGAGACCAACAGATGAATTGTTCCAAGATGGCTTAAACCTTCATAGCTATGCTAAGGCTGCTTTACCAGACAAAGGAGTGGAGATTGCAGATCCAAAACTTCTCCAAGAAAGAGATGATGACAAGTTTCAAGTGTGCTTAGTTTCAATGATCACAATTGGAGTTGCTTGTTCTGCGGAATCTCCCCTGGATAGAATGAAAATTCATGATGTTGTGAGTGAATTAAGTAAAGCAAAGAAGTCCTTAATTATTAGCTTGTAGAGTTATTTTAGAACTTGTTATTTTATTCTGTTAAATTTTGTTCCGTAAATCAAACATGCTAATAATACTTTCTGTTTAATCAATAATACTTTCTGTTTAATCAATTCATAATATTCAGATGTTAACTTTCTATTCCTACTGAATATGTGCTCATTATAAACATAATATAACAAAAAAAAAAGTTTAAAAATAAACTAAAAAACTAGTATTTCATTAAAACATGCTGTTTATAGGATTTTAAGAACCACTCATACGCCCCCTAATAGATCATAATAATACAAATGATTGTAGAACTAACCTAAACGCATCTACAACTCTTTTCAAGTTTTTTCATTACCCACTAGCTAAACCTAGACACACTATTTCAAATCTATTCCTTATAAGGCACTAAATTCACCTAAAAGGCATTTAAATCATACCTAAAAGGCTCTAAATTTATCCTTAAAAGAACATGCATTTCTAAAGACATAATTATAACAATAACCCTTAGGGTTGGGGTTCAGCCTTTTGGAATAATAATTATAACAATAAAATAATTATGGCAATAAAAATATAAGGCATGCTTAGATTATGCATATCAATTATTCATACTCTATAAATAAATTGTAACACTTAATACAATTTAAATCTGAAAAATTGAATATTAAATTAATATTCAAACAAATTTAACACTTAATAATTTGTTCAAAAATTGAATAACAATTTAATATTGACTTTAGGAAAAATCAATTGGACAATTTTAATAAGAAGAAGTCTAAATATTATTAACAAATAATGCTTAAGCAAGCCCAAAACAAACAGGCCCAGATTTAATAAATAAAAAAAAAAGTTTTTTAGTAGAGGCCCAGGTCTGGCCGAATTGGGCCAGACCCGACCCAAACCATTAAATCCGGCAAATTATATCGTGCATCGCGGTGCATAATCGGTTATGCACCGCGCGTCCGATACTACAGTGTGTCTAAACTGTAATACCCATTTTCTTATAAATTCAATTATGCTTAAGTTTTATTAAGTGAAGTCAACAAGTCAAAGTTTCTTATTTTGATATTGGGTAAAATTACCAAATTACCCTTCTTTACCCTTAAAGGTTAAGGAATCACTTGAGTCTTGGATAAGCATCTCATTTGAAAGAAGACAAGGAGAGCTAATTAGAGAGAGATAGGGGAAGGAAAAACCTTGAAGCTTGGATCTCCATCTTCTTCAAGCTTAGACCTCTAAGATATTGGGTATTCTAGGTGAGTTTAACCTCTATCTTTTACTCTTTATGAGTTGGGTTTATCTTTGGAGCCCTAAGATTGATGTTTGAAAATATTAGGGATTTTGACAAGGAGTATTTGGGCGAGCTAAATATCTAAGATTTGGATATTTTAGGTAAGTGTTTATGTCTCTCAAAACTATTTTTGCCCTATACTATAAATTAAACATGTGTTTTAATTTGGATTGTATATTGAAGTTTTGAGCAGTGTTTTTGGTGAAAATGTTGCGTTTTTGGACTGAAAATGTTGTTGTGTATTCTGGACTGAAACTGTATTTGGGTGTGAACTGTGTTTCCGGACTGAAATGGTTGACTTATATAATCTGGACTAGAATTGTCACCATGTGTAGAGGTGGTGTAATGGTTTGTGGTTGTTGAGCAGTGCGAGGGGTTATGGGTTCGATTCTACTTGCTAGCAGGTCCTATTTGTTTGTTTTATATATATTATGCTTACAAAATGGATTATTTACTTAAAGTTAGATTTGAACCCTTAACCTTATGTTTAATAAGTTAAGTTATTTCCAATTAAGCTACTTCAACTCTTTTGAAACTATTCTTGTGTAATAAACTATTCTACGATTTTTAAAGAGTTATGTACTAAGAAAATTATCATTTTGGAAGGGTTTACACCTTGCATATTTCTTAGTTTGATAAATTTATTATCAATAATTGGAAATATTATGTATCTTGAGAAAATATGTGACTTGAAAAACATGGTACAATAAACTATGTACTTGTTATGTGATTTTTTTTAAGGAAAATGATTTTTGCTACACCGAGCTATTTGATTATAAGAACTATTTTGATTGTTTGATCAAACTCATGAGGCAAGCTACATTTTGTTGTTTGTTTTGTTTGGCTTGGAACGTTCCTAATTGGTCATTCCGAATCGTCGAGCTTGACTCATTCCGAATCGTCGAGTCTTTTGAATTATTTGTTGGAACGTTCCATCCGGCTCATTCTGAATCGCCGAGCCTGACTCATTCCGAATCGTCGAGTCTTTTTGGACCATTATACCGATAATGGCATGTGCCACATAATATAATGGTGGTTGTAGGTTGCCAATGGGTCATATGTTAAGAAATGGTTTGTGCTTTTGAAAGTATTGTATTATGAAATATTGTTGATGCCCATGTAGCTAAAGTTTCTTGTTTTGTGAACTTGTGTATAGAATGATGAAAGTATATTATGACTTCGATATAGGTTAAAGATCGAGTTTTGCATCGAGTTATTACTCTAATGCTTTTTGTATTATTTTGGGGTTACTTGATCCGGTGTTGAGAGGACTATCAATTACTGGGCATTAGCTCATTATTTGTATTTTATTTTCTCATGTTTCAGAGTAGTAAGGACATGTGAATAGCATGAGCACAAGTGGTGGGGTCTCGAATGTGACTTTTGAAACTAGGAGACTTAGTCCTAGTGTTGGAGCTTATCACGAATTTTTGTTTCTTTTGGATATTCCCTTTGACCCTTGTATTTTTGGTAACCCGTTGTGCTTGTGATGTATTTTGGACATACTACTCATGATTGTAAATATTTGTGTGTGGATTTAATGAGCTTTTGGGAAGAACTAGTTGCTTATATTTTGTTATTTTGGGTTGTGGAATTGTTATGTATTTAGTTGTTGTTATGAAGGTTTCGAGAGATATGTGAGGTTAGGCTTCGTATTGTTACAATTTTTCATGTAACGGTACGGCCGGGTCATGTTCTAGAAGTGGGGCGTGACAGAGTGTTATCAGAGCCTAGGTCTAAATCCTTAGTTGGTCAAGAAGTTAAGTTTGAATTTTTGCAAGATTAGACTTTAACCTAGCGGATGATAAGTTTAGGCTTTGAGCGAGTTTTGGATGTGGTTTCCTGAATATTTTTGATAATGTGGTCATACTTTCTATGTTGTGAATTCAGGGAGTGTTGTGTTACAATGATTAAGAGGGGTATTCCTACACATGGTCGAACTCATCGGGTTGGGCCGTTGATAACTGTGTCGCCTATTCGGAACATAGTTGTGGATGCTTACGTGCTGTGTGATTCAGGTTCTTCGCATTGTTTTGTTTATGAGAAGTTTGCAAAGAATTTAAATTTGCAAGCTAAGAAGTTGAGTGAAACTTTGTATGTTAATACCCCTATGGGGAAATTGTGGTGATAGATACTTGGTTTCAAGATGGTCATCTACAACTTAAGGGGAGTGATGTGTCAATTGATTTAATTCGACTAGATATGCAGGATTTTGATGTGATATTAGGAATGGACTGGCAAAAAAAAAAAAAAAAACTATGCCTATATTGATGGCGCTCGTAGAAAAGTGGTATTTCAAATTCCTGGACAATCTACCTTTACTTTGAGACACTCTCCTAGGAGCGGAGTGTTGGTGTCGAAAGTGCAATTGAAAGTAATTTATGCATTGAAGGCTAAGAAAAACACCAGAAAGAAGTTGAGTTAGATGATATCCCAGTTGTTAAGGAATTTTTGGATGTGTTCCTAGAGCATTTACCTAGATTACCTCCAAATAGAGAAATTCAGTTTAAAATAGAAGTTCCCGGAACTACTCCAATCTCAAAGACCCCTTATCGCATGTCATCGTCTGAGCTACGTGAGTTAAAGGTGCGATTGCAAGAATTGTCAGGTATGGGATTTATTAGACCTAGTGTATCTTTTTGGAATGCACTAGTGTTATTTGTGAAGGATGGTAGCTTGCGATTGTGTATTGACTATTAGAGATTGAATAAAGTTACTATTAAGAACAAGTATCATCTACCTCACGTAGATGAATTATTTGACAAGTTCAAAGTGCTAAATACCTCTCAAAAATTGATTTGAGATTAGGGTACCATCAATTGAAGGTTAAAGCTACTGATGTATCCAAGACTACTTTTAGGACCTGGTATGGCCATTATGAATTTTTGGTGATGTCGTTCGGGCTAACTATTCCTCCTGCTTTCTTTATGGATTTAATAAATAGGGTCCTCAAGTCATTTCTGGAAAAAATTGTTGTGGTATTTATTGATGACATTCTGCTATATTCAAAGAGTGAGGAAGAGCATGCTCAACATCTAAAGACCATCTTGCATACCTTGAAGGAAAATGAATTGTATGCCAAGCTAAGTAAATGTGAATTTTGGCGTAAGGAGGTATCTTTTCTTGGTCATGTAATTTCTGGAGACGGGATTTCCGTAGACCAAACTATGGTTGAAGCAATAACACAATGGCCGAGACCCCCTAATGCTACAAAAGTAAGGAGTTTTCTTGGTTTAGCAGGTTAATAACCATGCCATTGATTCGATTAACTCGGAAGGGTATAAATTTTAATTGGGATGAGGAGTGTGAGAAGAACTTTCAAGAATTAAAGGAAAGATTGGTTAGTGCACCTATCTTAGCCCTACCATCTGGGGAAGAGGGATTTGTTATTTATAGTGATGCATCAAGTAGAGGATTAGGATGTGTGTTGATGCAAAATGGTAAGGTGGTAACCTATGCCTCTTGACAATTGAAGTCCCATGAAGTTAACTACCCCACTCATGACTTAGAACTAGCAGTTGTGGTTTTTGCTTTAAAAATTTGGAGGCACTACCTGTATGGAGAATCTTGTCAAATATTTACGGATCATAAGAGTTTGAAGTACCTCTTTATCCAAAAGGAATTAAACACGAGACAACGACGATGGTTGGAGCTAATAAAAGAATATGACCTCACTATTAATTATCATCCAGGTAAAGCTAACAATGTGGCTGATGCTTTAAGTCGTAAGTTTTCCATGGTTAATGTGACAGTGGTGACTACTCAAACTCAATTGTTGAAGGATTTTCAAGATTTTGAAGTTGAGGTTATTTTGCAAAATAAGGAAGGAGGGATATTAGAAACTATGATTACAAACCCGGTATTATTAGATCGCATTAAAGTTGCCCAAGTTGATTAAGATTCATGGGGAAAAAAAAAAAATCAACCGAGTGACCCAAAAGAGTTCGGTATTTAAGATGATGGATCCCTATATTTCAAGTCCCGGCTATGCATTCCGAATGATGTTGAGGTAATGAAGGATATTTTAAAGGAAGTCTATCAGTCTCACATCTTTGTACATCCAGGTGCTACCAAAATGTATAGAGATATGAGAAATAATTTCTGGTGGAGTGGTATGAAGCGGGATATTGCTGACTTTGTGGTCAGATGCATGGTATGCCAACAAGTACGTTAAAGTTGAACACCAAAGACCTGCAGGATTATTGAAATCCTTAGAGATACCTCATTGGAAGTGGGAACATATATCTATGGATTTTGTGAGTGAATTAGCGAATAGTCAGCATGGGAAAAATACAATTTGGGTTATTGTGGATCAACTCCTAAGGTTGCACACTTTCTACCCATTAGGAAGACCTAGCTGAGTTGTATGTGAATGAAGTTGTAAGGTGGCATGGTGTATCTGTTAGTATAGTATCTGACCGGAACTCTAGATTTGTGTCAAAATTTCGGAGAAGCTTACAACGAACCACGAGGACTGAATTAAAATTAAGCACTGCATATCATCCACAAACAAATGGGCAAACCGAGAGGACTATTCCAACCTTGGAGGATATGCTTCGAGCTTGTGTCTTGGATTTCAAGATTAGTTGGAGTAAATACTTAACTTTAATTGAGTTTGCATATAACAATAGCTACCAATCGAGTATAGGAATGACACATTTTGAAGCTTTATATGGAAGGAAATGTTGATCTCTTTTATATTGGGATGAAGTTGGAGAAAGAAAGATATTAGGACCAGAACTTGTACAACTCACAGTTGAGAAGATTAAATTAATTAAGAAAAGAATTAAAGCCTCTCAAGACAGGCAAAAGAGTTGGGCTGACTTGAAAAGAAGAGAATTGGAATTCAAAGTTGGGGATTTGGTGTATTTAAAGGTTTCACCAACTCGAGGAGTAATGAGGTTTGGAGAGAAAGGGAAATTAAGTTCACGTTACTTTGGACCGTTTGAGATTCTGAGTAGAGTGGTAATTTGGCTTATGAGCTAGCACTACCACCACAATTAGCTGGAGTTCACAATGTATTCCATGTATCAATGCTACGAAGGTACATTGTAGATCCGAGTCATGTGGTGAAGTATCAACCATACAAGTTAGGGATGACTTAACTTATGACGAAGTACCTCTTCGCATCATTGATCGGAAGGAACAAGTGTTAGGTCCCGAGTAATCCCATTTGTTAAAGTGCAATGGTCACATCATACCCCAAGAGAAGCAACATGGGAAATGGAAGATGATATGAAGGATAGATATCCTGAACGCTTCAAATTTGAAGGTAAGTAAGTTTCGAGGACGAAACTTATTTTAAGGTGGGGAGATTGTAATACCCATTTTCTTATAAATTCAATTATGCTTAAGTTTTATTAAGTGAAGTCAACAAGTCAAAGCTTCTTATTTTGATATTGGGTAAAATTACCAAATTACCCTTCTTTACCCTTAAAGGTTAAGGAATCACTTGAGTCTTGGATAAGCATCTCATTTGAAAGAAGACAAGGAGAGCTAATTAGAGAGAGATAGGGGAAGGAAAAACCTTGAAGCTTGGATCTCCATCTTCTTCAAGCTTAGACCTCTAAGATATTGGGTATTCTAGGTGAGTTTAACCTCTATCTTTTACTCTTTATGAGTTGGGTTTATCTTTGGAGCCCTATGATTGATGTTTGAAAATATTAGGGATTTTGACAAGGAGTATTTGGGCGAGCTAAATATCTAAGATTTGGATATTTTAGGTAAGTGTTTATGTCTCTCAAAACTATTTTTGCCCTATACTATAAATTAAACATGTGTTTTAATTTGGATTGTATATTGAAGTTTTGAGCAGTGTTTTTGGTGAAAATGTTGCGTTTTTGGACTGAAAATGTTGTTGTGTATTCTGGACTGAAACTGTATTTGGGTGTGAACTGTGTTTCCGGACTGAAATGGTTGACTTATATAATCTGGACTAGAATTGTCACCATGTGTAGAGGTGGTGTAATGGTTTGTGGTTGTTGAGCAGTGCGAGGGGTTATGGGTTCGATTCCACTTGCTAGCAGGTCCTATTTGTTTGTTTTATATATATTATGCTTACAAAATGGATTATTTACTTAAAGTTAGATTTGAACCCTTAACCTTATGTTTAATAACTTAAGTTATTTCCAATTAAGCTACTTCAACTCTTTTGAAACTATTCTTGTGTAATAAACTATTCTACGATTTTTAAAGAGTTATGTACTAAGAAAATTATCATTTTGGAAGGGTTTACACCTTGCATATTTCTTAGTTTGATAAATTTATTATCAATAATTGGAAATATTATGTATCTTGAGAAAATATGTGACTTGAAAAACATGGTACAATAAACTATGTACTTGTTATGTGATTTTTTTTAAGGAAAATGATTTTTGCTACACCGGGCTATTTGATTATAAGAACTATTTTGATTGTTTGATCAAACTCATGAGGCAAGCTACATTTTGTTGTTTGTTTTGTTTGGCTTGGAACGTTCCTAATTGGTCATTCCGAATCGTCGAGCTTGACTCATTCCGAATCGTCGAGTCTTTTGAATTATTTGTTGGAACGTTCCATCCGGCTCATTCTGAATCGCCGAGCCTGACTCATTCCGAATCGTCGAGTCTTTTTGGACCATTATACCGATAATGGCATGTGCCACATAATATAATGGTGGTTGTAGGTTGCCAATGGGTCATATGTTAAGAAACGGTTTGTGCTTTTGAAAGTATTGTATTATGAAATATTGTTGATGCCCATGTAGCTAAAGTTTCTTGTTTTGTGAACTTGTGTATAGTATGATGAAAGTATATTATGACTTCGATATAGGTTAAAGATCGAGTTTTGCATCGAGTTATTACTCTAATGCTTTTTGTATTATTTTGGGGTTACTTGATCCGGTGTTGAGAGGACTATCACTTAATGGGCATTAGCTCATTATTTGTATTTTATTTTCTCATGTTTCAGAGTAGTAAGGACATGTGAATAGCATGAGCACAAGTGGTGGGGTCTCGAAGGTGACTTTTGAAACTAGGAGACTTAGTCCTAGTGTTGGAGCTTATCACGAATTTTTGTTTCTTTTGGATATTCCCTTTGACCCTTGTATTTTTGGTAACCTGTTGTGCTTGTGATGTATTTTGGACATACTACTCATGATTATAAATATTTGTGTGTGGATTTAATGAGCTTTTGGGAAGAACTAGTTGCTTATATTTTGTTATTTTGGGTTGTGGAATTGTTATGTATTTAGTTGTTGTTATGAAGGTTTCGAGAGATATGTGAGGTTAGGCTTCGTATTGTTACATGTTTTCATGTAACGGTACGGCCGGGTCATGTTCTAGAAGTGGGGCGTGACAGTCTATACCGACACTGTCAAAACGACGTCGTTTTATTTAATGAAAAGAAACAAAATCTTCGCAAAAAATAACTTTGTTCTTCAGTTTCATTTTGTATACACTGCAGTTTCAATTCAACACAACTACAGTTTCATTTCGATATAACTACAGTTTCATTCAATATTTATACACTCAAATATGTGAAAATGTTATTTAATTTTATTTTATATACACTATAATTTCATTAAAACACAACTACATGATCGTTTGAATATAATTACAGCTTCACTGTACAATATACACTCAAATATGTGAAATGTTATTCAGTTTCATTTTATATATACTGTAGTTTCATTTCACCACAACTATAGTATCATTTTGATATAACTGTAGTTTCATTTGATAATATAAAAATAATATGTGAGCTAGTGTCGGTTTAGACACACTGTAGTGTCAGACACACGATGCATAACCGATTATGCACCGCGGTGCACCATATAACGACCCATTAAATCCATCTTCATTCATCATCTTCTTCATCTACCTGTCGCACGTAGCAGCCGGAGGAGCAGATAAAGTATATCAGCGATGAACAACCGAGACTATCGCCAGCGTCGTCTGAAGGAGGAGGGGCACCAGCCTCGTCGCCGGGATATCCCAGCTCCGCTACGCGCCGCCTGACCTCGACGTATCCCCAATTCCCGCCGCCATCCGCAGCCGGCCGGCGACGTTCCTTAGAGTCGCCGTCGATCCGTTTGCCCGTAGCCGCATCGCGAACCAACCATCGGACGGGCTCCTTCACGTCGTTCCGTCGCCACCGGCAGTAGCCGGCCAACCAACGTGAAGGAAAAAAAAATCCGGGTGCGAGGAAGCAGAAAAAAAAATTCCATTTGATTTTAATTAATTTTTTTAAAATCAAATTAGAATTTATTAAAAAAAAATAGATTTAATGCGGAAAATAAACACCCAGTAGTCCAAACAATTGCATATAACTATTCATGTAAAAAAAAATATTCAACATATGCAGTTAATATACTTACGGCTAGGCAGAGGTAAATCAAGCTCTGATACCAACTATAAGCAAATAAATAACATAGGAACTTAAATACGTGACAGGATCTTTATTTAAGTATTAAGTACTAACCTCCTGCTGATGATGATTGAGTAGTCACGGGACTGCTGCGGCAGAGTAATAGTATATGTTTCTCAACCCTCACTGGATGGTGTATGAGGAATGAATGTTAAGCAGTGAGAGGACTAGATGGCTCGTTATAGAAAAACCATATGCCATCAATATGGTAACTGAATCCCTTCCTAATCACACTCCTTATCTTTATAATCAAGCATTACCTTAATTATTAGAAGTATGCATAGAAGAGTTGCACCACATAACAGATTACCTTTAATTACTATAACTTTGACCTAATGTTATAATAATGTAATTGGGAAAACTTTACAGTGAAATGTTATTCAGTTTCATTTTATATACACTGTAGTTTCACTTCACCACAACTACAGTATCATTTTGATATAACTGTAGTTTCATTTGTCGTGAGTCAGTGTCGGTTTAGATATACAATAATGCCAGTTGGTGTTTAATACACTAAATATGCGGACTCCGTTAGGCGGGCCGTTTCTTTACTTAAAGAAACGGCGCCGTTTTTTATCATGCACCGCGATCTACGAATAACGACTGTTTAACGGACTTCTTGGGCTAGCCGCCATACTTGATTGTCACATAGCCCTTTTACAAGTTATTTTGATAATGAAAGGATCTCAAAAGTGTCCATTTCACAAAATGATCATTTTTCTATGGTGTCATAATTTGTGAACCAAAATTCACGCCGAAGAACAGTGTAAATAAATGAACAAGTTTAATCTAATGAGAAAAACGGTCTACAATTTCAAAAGTATAGAATATGTATTGCCGTGTAATTGGCTTCTATCATTTCCAATAATTAAGGTTTCTTTTTCTTCAATTGTAAAAATACAAATTTAACAACTTCTAAAAATCTTATGAGAGTAGTGGGGGATTTCGTTGAATCATATATGTGAAAAACAAAACAAAATGTGATGACCGATCTAATGGCGGCTAAGCACGCAAGCCAGATGAAAAAGTACGTATTGAAGAATGATGGATCCGATTATTGATAGAAACTAAATTAATATAATTAATTTAAAATATTTATAAAATAATATGAGTTGGAATATAAATATCATGATGCATGTGACATCGATAACATCAGCGCTACGTAAACTAAGTTAACAGTATTATTAACACCGTTAACTATTGTCATTAATTGCACAACTTTTTTACAGTACAGGGACTAAATTGAACAAAATAAAGGTACAAAGATTAAATTGAATAAAACACTATAGTATAGGATATCAAAGGCACTTTGACCAAAATAAATAGCAAAACAAAAGAACTTACCAGAACCATTCCTTAGGTGAGAACCAGTATGAATGTACACAATGTACTTAAGGATAGATTGTGAGCATTGTGTGCTTAGAATATTAGATTGTGTGCATTCATGTAATAGTTCACATGCTCTCACTTAGGGATGGTTCTCACTTTTAACGCAAATCATTGTTTTAACATTGGGCATCAATATTGTATTTTTTTTTTTTTTGCTCATCATACAAATACTAATAACAATAAATATTTTTAAATAAAAAATAATGTTTTATCAATTTCTAAATAAAAGTTAAAAAAAAAACTAAATTGTTACATGCATGCTGTTTTTTTTCATTTTTTGAATTCTATTTCATTTTTTAGATCCGGAGGCCTTCTTGTTTTGCTTCTACAAACTTTATTCGCATGATTTAATTGATAAAAGTAGATAATATAAAGATTTGTGTAAAGTATAACATTTTTTTGGATGAAGAAGGTAACATGTAGCCACTATCTAAGGTTGCGCATGGGTAAAGTATACCCGGCCACTACTGTTACAATTCAACTAGTTTTTTTTTTTGTTTTTTTTTTTTTTTTAACAACTAGTTTTTTTTTTTTTTTTTTTTTTTTTTTTTTTTATGATGTAACTAATCAAAACAGAGTTTTGAAGATACTTCAACAGAGAAAGAACAATACAAATCCATTTTCACATAAACAATATATAGAGTTATTGTTAGAATTATATATAGAGTGAATAATGTTGCTCAAGATTTCACATAGGATTATGCTATTAAGGTATGGAAATTAGTCTAAGAGTAGAAAATAAAGTTTTTTTTTTAGAAAAAAAAAAAAAGGTAGAATAACGCAATTTCGCTGCTTGCCTAGCTTCAAGCCCCACAAATTCCCTTCAACGATTTATGCATTATTCCCATTATTCTTTTGATTTACAGTGAAGTCTATAGTTTTTATTATGCTTGGAATAATAGTTTGAAAATGACATGTTAAGTGGCTATTTTGTGGTATAAATATTAGTGAGGTCCACTTTCTATTTGGGTCAAGTAAAAGTGGATTCTGATTTTTCGTAGTGAGACAAAGATATTGATATATTGTACGCTCAAAACGAATAATGGGTGAATGAAAAATTGATTCTCAAAGTAAACTCATTTGAGTTGAAAAACGAAGGGAAAGACTTTAATTTAAAGTAGCATTTGTCCCACATTGGTTTGGAAAGTCGATTTGCACCACTTTTTATACAAGAGCCTTTCTAAAACTTATTGAATTGAATTGTATAGCATAATGGCTCATTTGATTTCTAAACCAACCTTCACTACACAATGTTCCTAACAGCAAAGCAAAAATCTATTTGTCCCTTTGTTTGTTTTATTCCTAGAAATTTCCAGTTTTTCCAAAAAAAAAAAAAAAAAAAAAAAAAAACATAATCTTTTTTCATAAGTTTATTATTGAGTTTTCGACTTTATTTGCCAATAATTATCCGACACAAGGATTTATGCATTATTCTTTTCAAAAGGTTGAACTCCAACGATTTATGCATCATGATACACGTATCCATGCATCCAAATTTGTGCGTGTTTCACACTTGGGACATACTATATAAAGGAGTGGCTGGTGAATTAGTTATCACAACTATGAATTTGTCACTTTATTAAAATTCATCAAATCAAACTGAGTATCTATCTGTCACAGGGACAAATCCTTATCCTTATCCGATCCTGAATAATTTGGACATACTAAAGTAATATACTTTTACTTTTAATTTTATAATAATTTTTGTCAGAAAGATATACTTTACTCTGTTGTCCTTCAATTCATGCAAACTCTAGAGATAGCGAATTGTCTGTTTCTCACAATTTGCCGATAATGAAAGGGCCACAAAGTAATCCATTTCACACACGATGTGATATTGTTTTGTTTTAGTATGTTGATTACAACAATTCATTATGAATGACAATGAAAATGAAAAGACTATAGTTTTGATTATTTTAAATGCACTATCATTTGATTTACAGGAAAACACTCAATCCCTATTTGAAATTAACGTACACATACTCTAAATGGAACTTGCCTTATCATTCTAGCCGACGAAAGACCACAGACAAGTAAATTTGTTAAGGTTATCATAACCGACCGGCTCAGACCAAAATACCAATTAATAGACAGCTTTCACAGGAAATTGAACTTTTAAAAATTATAATTATCAAATCAACTGTCTGACTAACTTAGCTATGTATTGCCCTAGAATGCATTATCTTACAGAGACATGCAATGTAATTGTTGATGTTCTACAGTATAATGCTGATAGCTTATTTTCTTAATGTATGGATTTCTACTATCCACACTACCTTCATTATGGGAAAACATAGATTTTTCGTCCAACTACAAATAGTCAAATAGACGGGAAATCTCCTTGTTTTTATTAGAAAATGATTTGCCC